TTCAAAAAGCTGATCCCAGATCCGTACGTCGATTTGCTTCACGCTCGCCTGTTTCGCCACATCGGGTGGGGGCGCAAAGATAAACGAATGGTCTGATCATCAGGAGAACACCATGGCCATCATCTGGGCGTCTTCCTCCCGGATGGCCACGTGTCCTTCCGGGGTGATCCCATCACAGATATCTTGCCATGGTACGGTCTTAGTTGCGATCTTTACTCCGAGCTCATCTGATTCAGCCTCGAGATGCCCAGGGGGTTCCAAAGAGTTGGCTTCCACCCCCAGGCGTAACAGTCATACTTCTTTTGCGGGTGTCAATAGAGACTTCGGTAGATCTGTGATATCGCAGTAGTGCTTTTTGTCGTTGTATCGGGCGAGGAGAGGGGAGATTCCTTCGTACAGGGTTTGAGGGGGTTCCAAAGAATCGACCANTTCCTCTCTTCCTCTCTCTTCCTCTCTTCCTCTCTTCCTCTCTTCCTCTCTTCCTCTCTTCCTCTCTCTTCCTCTCTCTTCCTCTCTCTTCCTCTCCTCCTCTCCTCTCTTCCTCTCTTCTCTTCCTCTCTTCCTCTCTTCCTCTCTTTCTGTCTTCCTCTCTTCCTCTCTCTTTCTCTCTCTCTCTCTCTCTCTCTTTCTCTCTCTTTCTCTCTCTTTCTCTCTTCCTCTCTCTTCCTCTCTTCCTCTTTTCCTCTCTTTCCATATCTGGATCCTCGTGATGTCATCTCCCTCCCTCCGATTTGGTCCCCCCTTCCTCCTGGAGATGGAACCACCAACAATGCCTGCCCCCTACCAACGGGCCTAGCTCGGCCTAGCTCGGTTGGTACACACTTGGAACTGTTGATATACGGACCGAAGTTCGAATCCAGGTACAATCAGAGGACCAGAATAACATCATCCTGAATTACCTGGGCCCGGTAAGTTCAATTATGATATCTTCTTCTTCTTCTTCTTTTTTATTTTACAGTTGTGTTCTCCTCATCTGGGGACAACTGTATGGGTATTTTTCTATCGCCTCACATATTGTAAGTGGCTTTCTGTGCTGTCAGGGAACTTATCTTGTTTCCTTTCACTACCTACCACTATTTCTAAGGCTATACAGGGGACCCCTGCAAGCATAGCTTTCTACCTCTCTTAGGTGAAGGGAGGTTACCTCTCTCAGAGAAGAGGGGAAACGGCATGTTTGCCCCTTTGCCCTAGAGTCTTAGGACTGTCTCTTATACACATCTAGATGTGTATAAGAGACAGATCTGTGATATCGCAGTAGTGCTTTTTGTCGTTGTATCGGGCGAGGAGAGGGGAGATTCCTTCGTACAGGGTTTGAGGGGGTTCCAAAGAATCGACCATCCTCGAAATCTGTATGAGGGGTTCACCCAAAATCATCGTCTTGGTCCTTTGGATATTCCGACTGGTTAGATGCATCATTCTTGCGATCGTTCTGGGCGGCGGGTAATAAATGTGCTGTCGTGCTAGCTTCAAAATTTCCGGATCATTTTCATCACTGCTATCCGCATCCTTCGATCATGGCTCATCGTCTGCGGGGTCTTCCCAGGTGATCATACAGAGAGTTCCTGCTATCATCGGAGAAACTCGCGGGACTGCGTTGATGGTAGTACGAAAGGTCAGCCTCATAGGTACAACATATGGCTTTCCTCCCGTATTTTGGAGGATTATTGACCGTCGCTCGAAATCGAAGTTTGCTCGCAACGCCACAAGAGCGGGAAGGCCGAAAAGGACGTCGTAGGCATTTACGTCTAATACCACGACGTCTCCTAACGCATGCACCTTTCCTAATCGGAAAGCGACATTGGTCATTCTTCCCACTACCTGCTGTTTATCCACCCACCTACTAAGTCCTTCCACTAAAACTACTTCCTTCCACCTTCGACGCTGCTACATAGTCTCTCAGAACGTTTCATAACGCACCTAC